TATTCTTTAAAAAATCCACGCCTTATGCTAACCTTGAAAAAATATTCTTTAAAAAATCCACGCCTTATGCTAACCTTGAAAAAATATTCTTTAAAAAATCCACGCCTTATGCTAACCTTGAAAAAATATTCTTTAAAAAATCCACGCCTTATGCTAACCTTGAAAAAATATTCTTTAAAAAATCCACGCCTTATGCTAACCTTGAAAAAATATTCTTTAAAAAATCCACGCCTTATGCTAACCTTGAAAAAATATTCTTTAAAAAATCCACGCCTTATGCTAACCTTGAAAAAATATTCTTTAAAAAATCCACGCCTTATGCTAACCTTGAAAAAATATTCTTTAAAAAATCCACGCCTTATGCTAACCTTGAAAAAATATTCTTTAAAAAATCCACGCCTTATGCCAAACTTGAAAAAATATTCTTTAAAAAATCCACGCCTTATGCTAACCTTGAAAAAATATTCTTTAAAAAATCCACGCCTTATGCTAACCTTGAAAAATATTCTTTAAAAAATCCACGCCTTATGCTAACCTTGAAAAAATATTCTTTAAAAAATCCACGCCTTATGCTTAGCTAGTCCTCAAAGAAAATTCTTTAAAAAATCCACGCCTTATGCTTAGCTAGTCCTCAAAGAAAATTCTTTAAAAAATCCACGCCTTATGCTGGCCTTGAAAAAATATTCTTTAAAAAATCCACGCCTTATGCTAACCTTGAACAAATATTCTTTAAAAAATCCACGCCTTATGCTTAGCTAGTCCTCGAAGAAAATTCTTTAAAAAATCCACGCCTTATGCTTAGCTAGTCCTCGAAGAAAATTCTTTAAAAAATCCTCGAAGAAAATTCTTTAAAAAATCCACGCCTTATGCTTAGCTAGTCCTCGAAGAAAATTCTTTAAAAAATCCACGCCTTATGCTAACCTTGATAAAAGATTCTTTAAAAAATCCACGCCTTATGCTAACCTTGAAAAAAGATTCTTTAAAAAATCCACGCCTTATGCTGGCCTTGAAAAAAGATTCTTTAAAAAATCCACGCCTTATGCTGGCCTTGAAAAAATATTCTTTAAAAAATCCACGCCTTATGCTGGCCTTGAAAAAATATTCTTTAAAAAATCCACGCCTTATGCTGGCCTTGAAAAAATATTCTTTAAAAAATCCACGCCTTGTGTTGATGCTTGAAAAATGATTCTTTAAAAAATCCACGCCTTATGCAAACCTTGAAAAAATATTCTTTAAAAAATTCACGCCTTATGCTAACCTTGAAAAAATATACTTTAAAAAATTCACGCCTTATGCTAACCTTGAAAAAAAAATTCTTTAAAAAATCCACGCTTTATGCTAACCTTGAAAAAAAATTCTTTAAAAAATCCACGCCTTATGCTAACCTTGAAAAAATATACTTTAAAAAATTCACGCCTTATGCTAACCTTGAAAAAATATTCTTTAAAAAATCCACGCCTTGTGTTGATGCTTGAAAAATGATTCTTTAAAAAATCCACGTCTTATGCAAACCTTGAAAAAATATTCTTTAAAAAATTCACGCCTTATGCTAACCTTGAAAAAATATACTTTAAAAAATCCACGCCTTATGCTAACCTTGAAAAAAAAATTCTTTAAAAAATCCACGCATTATGCTGGCCTTGAAAAAATATTCTTTAAAAAATCCACGCCTTATGCTTGCCTTGAAAAAATATTCTTTAAAAAAATCCACGCATTGTAGTTGCCTTGAAAAAATATTCTTTAAAAAATCTACGCCTTGTGTTGATGCTTGAAAAATGATTCTTTAAAAAAAATATTTAAAAACTTCAAATCATTATTAATAGGTCAATGACTCACATTGTGTTATCCAACTTTTTCTCTTCATTCAACATCTTTTTTTAATAAATTCCAATTAAGAAAACAAAAAACTAGTTTTTTTGTCTGCTTTCGGCCATCAACCAAAAAAAGATTGTAAACACAAGAGAAAATGTAAACAGTCTAGAAATTTTAATTAAAAAAAAATAACGACAACAACAATAATAACCGTCACAACATTTACTGTTATTTCGCCATCAATATGGCAAAACCAATACAACTACATATAAACAATTTCTTATGTCATTTTATTTGTTTACATTCTGCCATGGATGTGGCAGAAACGAAGTGTCACTTGGGCTAACTACGTGGCAACACTGGTCCCCTAATAACAAAACACATCAAAAAACAATGAAAACATTTTTTTCTGGAATTTGTGGCATGCAACATGCCCATCAACAAGCCTGCCACCAGCGTGACCGTTGTGCCACTAAAGTGGCAATTTTGCCACTTTTTTTCGCCTTTGCTACTTTTGTGATACTTTTTCATTTTGATACAAAATGTGCCACTTTTTGAATTTTTGTGAAACTTTTTGTTACTTTGTGCCACTTTTTTAAAAAAGTACATAAATTAAAGCGATTTTTCATAAAACATAATGATTTGTTTTGTAATATTGTATCAGACGGAGCGATTTTTAACTATGTTGTGTTTTTTAACAAACGGAGCAATTTTTAACTAGGGTTCAGTTTGTAACAGACGGAGTGATTTTTATTATTATTATTAGGTCGCATTTGTGTGTTGGTCTGTTCCCGTACTGCAAGAATCTACTAGATTTTACTATTTTCTTCGATAACATAAAGGAAAATTCGTTATCGTAGTAAAAAGTAGTAGATTGTTGCAGTACGGGAACAGACCATGTGTGTTTCGGTTTGTAGAATTTTCTGTACCCTTACTGCAAGAATCTACTACTTTTTACTACGAGAACGAATTTTCCTTTATGATATCGAAAAAATAGTAAAATCTAGTAGATTCTTGCAGTACAGGAACAGACCAATAGTATATACCACTTATATATTGTAAGAATATGTGATTTTATTTAGTTTTTTTTTCAGTTCACTGTATATTAAAATACACGTGAATTAATTATTTGTAATGTTATATATAGTTTTTTATTAAATAAAAAGTAACAAATGTGTGCCACTTTTTGTGACACTTTTTCAGAAGTTATGTGCTACTTTTTTTAAAAAATGATACTTTTTGTGATACTTTTTGAAAATTTTCAGCGGTCACGCTGCCTGCCACTTCCATAATTGCACTCACCAAGCAATAACAACAACAACCAAACAATACTTACTCTCACTTTTCCCCGGGTTTTGTGTTTTTGTATGCAATCGATGGCATACGGTTTGTTTGATGTTCGCTCTCTCTCACACTCTCTCTATGGCTGGCTATTTATGGTTTTTTTAAACAACAACAAACACTAAAACCATTAGAAAATAATATGCACTTTATTTATTTTTTAAAACTATTTCACTTCAAATATAAACAAATATCAATTATATTTATTTATTTAAAATTTCTGTAGTTGAATTAAAAAAAAAACACAACAATGCGTCAAGAGCATGTGTGCAAATTCTCCGATAATAACAAAACAACTGTTCCCCAATTGTGTGTGCGTGTGTGTCGAATTGCTTGTCAAGGCAAATAACAGTTTCCCTTTTCACTGACTGCTGCTAAATTGACGGATGTCTGTTAACTGTATTTATCGATAATCGATAAATCTAACAGCTGTGTGAATAGTTTAAGGGAATTTAGTTTTTTTTTTTTAAATAATTTTTTAAAAGCAAATACAAGGCATGGATTTTTTAAAGAATATTTTTCAAGGCAACCACAAGGCGTGGATTTTTTAAAGAATATTTCTTCAGGACTACCAAAAGGCGTGGATTTTTTAAAGAATATTTTTCAAGGCAACCACAAGGCGTGGATTTTTTAAAGAATATTTTTTTCAAAGCAACCACAAGGCGTGGATTTTTTAAAAAATATTTCTTCAAGGTTCCAAGACGTGGATTTTTTAAAGAATTTTTTTTCAAGTAGCCAGAAGGCGTTGATTTTTTAACGTATACTTTTTCAAGGCAACCACAAGGCGTATATTTTTTTAAAGAATATTTTTTCAAGGCCTCCATAAGACGTGGATTTTAAAAGAATAGTTTTTCAAGGCATCCCCAAGGCGTGGATTTTTAAATGAATATTTTTTTAAAGCCATCCGCAAGGCGTGGATTTTTAAAAGAATAATTTTTTTAAGCAATCCGCAAGGCGTAGATTTTTAAAAGAAAAATTTTCAAGGTCTCCATAAGTCGTGGATTTTTTAAAGAATATTGTTTTAAGCCATCCACAAGGCGTAGATTTTTAAAAGAAAAATTTTCAAGGTCTTCATAAGTCGTGGATTTTTTAAAGAATATTTTTTCAAGGCCTCCATAAGGCGTAGATTTTTTAAAGAATATTTTTTCAAGGAAACCACATGCCGTGGATTTAGGTTAGGTTTGGGTATGTACAGTCACTAATGTGGCTGCAGCACTCTGAGACCTTCAGGTCCATTGTGATCACGAAAAGATAAAGATATGAAGAAATCTATGGGGGTAGAAAAAAAGGTGGGATAGAGAGAGATGAGAAACTTACAAGGAAGTGTGAGAAGGTGAGTATGAAATAGTATCGATGGCTATAGAGGTCGGACAGAAAATATATTACGTGCCAAGGTTGCACTTTTCCAACCACTTTAGGTTTCTAATGATGCTGTAGATTAGATCAGGTTCCGTTGTTGAAATTAAACTAAAGCGGTGTACACACTATAATTTTTGACTGTCAACTTTTTTATTGATTACTGACTGTCCAACAACCATAAATATTTTTGTGGTTGCCTGATGAATGACAAACATGTGAGGCCACACTATCAAACAAGCAAAATTTGGGCAAGAGTGCCATTCAAAAATGCTCCGCATAAGACTCGGTTGAAAGTGAGCACCCACTAGTCTGTGCCGGCTGTTGGCCAGGACTGGACAGCGACACAGGAGATTACTCAATTTACTGGTAATGGCCCTGATATTGCAATGACCAGTAATGATTTCTGTCATTACTCTTATTTCAGGTTCAACAGTGAATGTGTCCTTTTGGTAGACAGAGTCGGCCAGATTGATCTTGACACATTGTACCTAGTTTCTTTGTGCCAGAGTTCATTGGCTCGTTCGTCAAAGAACGCCTCAAAGTTCCGATAAAGATGACATATGGGTGGTGGTTTGATTGTGCCATCAATTGCTGGATCTGTAGCTAGTTTGTCTGCTGACATCATTACCCATGTTGTCACGGTGTCCTGCTATCCAACACAGCCGATAGCTGTAAGTTCTTCCAAAGCTGTTCTACACTTGAGGGCGGCCATAGATTTGATGTAACAGGATTTGATCACTTTAAGAGCCGCTCACCGGTTCAATGATCTCTGCATCCAGACTGTTTATCAATTTCGCTGCCTTTCAAATCGCGAAGATTTCAGTTTGGGAAAACACTACAGTTACTATCCAGCTTGTAGGTAAACTCAAGGCCTAGCATTTCACAGTAGACGCCAGCCCCTATATAAATCCCACAAATAACGGTATCCCCGATGACTTTCGATATTCTGAAGATTTCAGACACGTTCTTCAACTAAATTTAATCTAATTTCACAGTTGGTGATCTGATTGGTTGAAAAATCTTCCTAAATTATAAATATCGTTTCACCATTAAAACGGTGGACCCAATTTTTTGTTTTTTTTTAAGATTGTTGACACCCAATGAATCCATCCAATATTTTTAACTATCGGTCGATGTTTTGGTATTTCCTCACCAGTCCAATCCTTTTACTGAAAAAGAAAAAAAGTTTAATCTTAGTGTAAGACTGATTCTCGCATCATTTACCAATTATATGATGTAATTTTTCGTTCCTTTTATGACATATGAACCTCCTAATTTCCAAATTTACTCTTCATCTTTCATTACTGCCTCACAATATAAAGATTCATCCACTTTATAGGTATTTTAATGGTCTTAGGTTCACTTTCCATCAGAAAACTGGTAGGTACATAACGTATTCTTAACCCTTTCAGTGTCAAAAAAATTATTTGTCGGAATAAAAATCTAAAATTTTGTACTTAAAATCATATGAAGGCATAGAGTTTAGAAAAAAGAGCAATTTTCATTTTAACCCTCAGACAGTTTCGTCTGTTTTTTCAGCAAAACATCAATGTTAACGGTACATAGGATAACGGAAAAATCGCAAAGAAAGAGAGAATTTTTAAATGTCGAATATATTCGACAAAAACACTGAAAGGGTTAATCGAATATATTCAATATAAGTCCAGCATAGGCCCATACATAAAGTCACGTAACAATTTCGGTATGATGAAGATTTTAATTCATCAATATTTTGGTATTGCCCCACAATATAAAGGTCCAATCACTTTTTAGGTATTTTGATGATCGTAGGTGCAGTTTCTAACCGAAGTGACTATGTTTTGGCATAATGAACTGGCTGTAAATTAGTATTCAAGGAATTTTGTGGGCAAACATCTTTTTTACAGAACATTTTCAGGTCAATATGTCTACATTGCCCCATGCAAAGGCCACGCTTCCTTGCGGTATGTTCAAAAACTTAGCCCATACTTTAAAAAGTTCATATCGAAGAAGAATTAATCCAAGCATCACATAGGCCTCCAAATTTCCGCATACTTATCCTTAATATAATATTGACGCGGATTTTTCATACTACGAACTGGCAGCAATTTAAGTCGATGTTTCTACACAGGGCCTAGCCAAACTTCCCAACCACAAGTTTCTCTATTTTAGTATTTCGTTTTCACAGTGGATAAAATACACTCGCAAATATTTTAACATCGGATAGTTCTCGTAAAAAGTTCCGGTATATTTCAATTTATTTAAATATCCATCTAAAAGGCCGAACTTAATAATCTTGTCTAAGAATATTTTCTTCAAGGATCAACAAAAAGTGGATTTCTAAAAGACTATTTTTTTCAGAACTGTAGCGTAGTTTTCAAACCAAATATACAAGCGTTGCCATATTGTCAAGCGTTGCCATATCTTATTTCCCACAAAAATACCCAACTACAAACAATATACCGAATATTTACCGAACTAAGTACCCATTAGTATTGCATCTCTAGGAATACGCGAAATTATTGGTCAATAGTTTAACTCTTGTATTTATTAAACTAAAAAAAGAAATATAGAAAAAACAATAACATTTTTTTTGCATTTTTTGTGTAAAAGTTTTAAACAAACTTTTCTAAACGCCAATAGTTCGGCAATACTCAATAATACTGGGGAACGAAATTCTGTAAAGATTTTGTTGGCTTATACCACTTGGCCACTGAAGAAGAAGCGGCAGCAAACCGAAGAAAAAAGCAAAAGGAAAAATCACTTGGAGAAATTTCGAGGTTCGAAATAGCCCTGACATTATTTAAAAGTTGGAGTAACAAAATAACACTATTTCCATTACCTATTTTAGAAAATCCCAGAATAATAGGCGATACAATATTTCGCCATTGCCACGGCAGAAAGGCGCGGACAGCATTGTGCCTAACCGGGGTGACATCCCATCATAATAAAACGCGTTAAATTTGGAGCCTCAAAAACAAAAACATGAAATGGGTAAGTGCCACTAGTAACTCTCTAGGAATAGTTATGGAACATTAACTTAAAAATCCCAAGCATAATTCGAAATACACACAATACAATTGTCATAAATTCCCCAAATTCTATTTTGAGTTTTTCCTATAAAATTACCTATGAGAGGTATTCAAAAATGGAGGGACTGCGTTGCATTTATCGAAAACCGAAACCAACACGGCATTACGTTCTTGAAAATATTTTATACGCAAATCCAGAGTATGCATACCTTGAATCCGCAAATAAAAGAACCGTCAAAGTGCAGTTCTTAAAATAAATAAAAAAATAAAAACTTTTTTAAGTTCGACTGGTCACAACTTTTTCATTTATTTATTTATTTTTATTTAAAATACCTAAAATCGATTGGGAGAAAGCGAAATAACCATGACCCAAATGAACAGGTCGTGTAAGAAGGTAGAAAATCCCTAAAACAGTCAAAACGGCTGGTCTAGGTGTGGATGTCTTGGCACCTGCAGCTGTATCTGCTACAAGCGCATCAATTTCCCGAATAACGTTGACGAACCGGCAATTGAAATGTCAAACGAGACAATCAAAACTAATGGAAATCAGTGTATGACTGACAGGACTGTAGTTCTGGGAAGGGACAACCTACACGGGACCCTTAACGCTATCCGCGATAGTTTAGAGGAACCGAGTAGGGAAATCTTCGAAATCTTAGACAGATTTGTACCGGAAGAACAATGTTTGGGGATACGCTTCCGGAGAAACTGCTACTAAATCTTACCCTGACTATGATGAGCTGGACACCACAGTGATTCCGACCAAGTCTACACAGGGCGATTGTTGTAGCCTCAACGAAGGAAGAGCTTGTTGACCGACCGACTTCAGGTCTGTCTCTAACAGGTCCTGTGCATACACTTCAGAGGCAAACTGCGACAGAGGAGATGTCCGACGATGAGGAATCTATCGATGGAAGAAGGTACAGGGGCTGGTGTCTACTGTGAAAGGTCTTGGGCCTTGAGTTAACCTACAAGCTGGATAGCAACTGTAGTGTTTTCCAAGCCGAAATCTTCGCGATTGATAAAAAGTCTGAATGCAAAGATCGTTGAACTGGTAACTATCTTTGTGGATAGTCAAGCGGCTCTTAAAGCCATCAAATACTGTTATATCAAACCTGAGGCCGTCCTCAAGTGTAGAAGAGCTTTGAAAGAACTTACAGCTATCGTGTGTGTTGGATAGCAGGACACCGTCACATCATAGGTAATGATGTCAGCAGACGAATTAGCTAGACGAGGATCTCAATCTACAGATCTAGCAATTCATTGCTCAATCAGGCCACCCATCTATCATCTTTATCGGAATTTTGAGGCTATATGTGATTATATATGGGCCTAGCCAAGGCGTGGATTTTTTAATGAAATCTTTTTTTCTGGGTCTAGTTAAGGCGTGGATTTTTTAAAGAAATCTTTTTTTCTGGGTCTAGTCAAGGCGTGGATTTTTTAAAGAAATCTTTTTTTCTGGGCCTAGTCAAGGCGTGGATTTTTTAAAGAAATCTTTTTTTCTGGGCCTAGTCAAGGCGTGGATTTTTTAAAGAAATATTTTTTTCTGGGTCTAGTCAAGACGTGGATTTTTTAAAAAATATTTTTTCTTGGTCGAGCCAAGGCGTGGAGTTTTTAAAAAATATTTTTTCTTGTTCTAGCCAACGCGTGGATCTTTTAAAGAATATTTTTTCTGGGTCGTCTAGTCAAGGCGTGGATCTTTTAAAGAATATTTTTTCTGTAGAGTCGTTTTAAATTGAAAATTACTACAACAAATAGTGCTTCAAAATTTATTGGATATTAACAAATTGGAAATTGGTCAACCTAATTTGTTTTATAGTATAAATATTTAATTATTTTTTTAATATAATTTTTAAGCAGATCAATTCAAATTGTGTATTTTTGATTTTCTAATTATTTTTTATATACTTGTTGATTTTTGGTTTTTAATACAATAAAAATTCAATCAATAGGAAGCAGTTAGAATTCTGATAGCATAAAACATTTATTTTTTAACAATTCCATTTATAATCCTTCAATAAATATTTCATTCATAAAACTTCACACATTCGTAAAGAAATAAAACACACAAAAAAACTATTATATAATAATAATTAAAATTATTAAAAACAAATTTCCAAATAATAGTTATTTCCATTTTTTCTACTCTTTTTTCTCTCTCTTTCCATATTTGCATTTCTCTTTTTTATTATATATTATATATATTTTGCAGGCATTTTATGCGCCGTATTGCAAAACTCTCCATATAACACAGTGTGAATGAAGAAAAATAATATTCAATAATTTAGATTTGAATAATTTGCTAAATATTTTTTCGTTAAAAGAAACTCCTCCCACACAGAATTAGTATTTTGCCACTGAAGGACAAACGACATCCATCAATTGTATTTTTTAGAAACTATTTAGTTCAAATAAAACGTGGCTGACGTCGCTGCAACAAAGTCATCTGCAACAATTGATGTAAGTAGCCAAAAAAAAGAAAAAAAAAGCCATTGTTTTTTGTTTTGTTTTCTTTATTTTGCCCTCCGCCAACACTTCCTTTCATATATCCATCGGGATTGTTCAGTTGTTTCGAATTTAATTTGCTTTATCCTGCTTTTAGTTTTTTCAG